CTACAGTGGATAGACTACTACAAAGAAAAATCATTGAACTCAATGGTCACATGTAATTTCTTTTGTTTGTTTCAGCGCAATGAATCTTTTCATAGAAAACACTCCAGTTTAGATCCTAAATAGTACAAATTGGATTCATTTGACACACATGGGAAATATGTGATACATACAGGAGTTCTCAAACTTCATTGTGCAAAGTACATGCAGAAGACTTTTAGTGTGTATTTTGACCAAGCATAAATATGACAATAAATAGTGTGGCCTGCAATAAATAAAACTATCAGACAATGTTCTAACAGGACTCCTGCCAGCTTGTCTGGCCAGAGCAAGAGCAGAATCTGGCAGCAACCCAGCAATATGTGTATGAACTCCCTCCTTGGATCAGGGTGTTCCTTTGACAGCCTTTATACTCCTAGCAACAGCTCTGCCAACAGCCCAAATCTGCTCCTGAGCACATCTTAAGACAATCCCACCAGGATTGAGGCTCTCTAGCAAACTCAAGTTCCACCTATTCCAAGGGCAGCAGTTCCTTGTCATTTGTTGCTTAAAATAATGCCCATTAAATTTAGAAATCCATAGAATAATTTTTGAATGAGGAATATCTATTACTGTTTAGCAAAAGTAGACAAAAATATTAGCATTATTTAAACTATTTTTGTTTACATTTATTACAATAATTATAAAACTGGGATGTATAAGTTTGCATATTATAGCATATTTCTTTAGTGTTAAAGAACATTTTGTATAACAACTTATTTGCTTTTTTTTATGAGAAATAGGGTTGTACAGTGTTTTGGATTCAGTCTCTTTCACTTGGAAGTACTGAAATATTTTCATATACTTAAACATGATTTCATTCAATGCTTACACCTTTATGAAAATCATTAACTTTCTAAATTTTGAGGCAGAATTAAAGGCTATGTAACTATGTTTATACTAGGTGTATAATATTAGCATTTTCACTCCATATTCAGATGTATGATTAATTTGTTTATTCATTGATATATGTGAAGGAATATCAGCCACATTTGCTTGGTGAAAGATCTGAATTTTGACATATAGAAACAGTAGTACTAGCTTCCTTTTTAAGACATAGTATGTTTACTCCTGGAACACCAGAGGAAATTAATATTGACTTTATATCAATGGATCTAACATAATGAATTTAACACATAACTCCATTTCACCAACATTCAAATGTATTTCTTAGATAAAAAAGGAAAATGCGTTCACAAACGCTTTAGGAAAAGGGAAGAATCAATAATCATTTGAGTAGTATTTTTTTAAGGTTAAAAACATAAGATATGGATCAGCCTAAAATACCTATATTTTCAAATTCCATTTCAAAGAGTGGCTAAAGGCAAAATAGATTGCATGTTTGAATAGGAGCTACGTTAAAGTAGTAATGCTGCTCTTCATTAGACTATCAGGAAGATACTAAGCTAGGACCCTTATTTCCAGGACTATATGTACATGCAACAGATGGATTTCTCCCCCCCCCCTTAATACTACTATAGCTACAATTCTGCAAATGTAGCTAGATAATCCTACATATAGATCAGGTTTACATAGCACAAGCCACATTATAGTCTAGTACAGGATCAGAAAAGGTGGTAGTTACAATAGGAGTCATTTCTGAAGGGATGAGGCTACAGCAGAAAGACTCAGGATAAAAAAGCCTTGGGCCATTGTTTTCTACATTGTCCTTTTGCTAGGACAATTAAAGGATTTTTTTTAAAAAATGAGACTATTTTAGGCATTTCCACCTCTGATTCTGTATATTTCTCTGCCAATTTTATACTGTATTCTGGTTTTGTAGGGAAGGAATAGCTTGCAGCCCTGACCTCGTGACATGAGATGTGAGTTCATAAATGTTCATGAGTTCAAAAATGAGGTAAATGGGTATCTTTGCAGATGGAAAAGCAAAATCTGTCTGTGCTAGTCAACTCAAGTGAAAGCTTAAGCAAAATTAACCAGCCTGGTTCTATAGAAGCTCTTGATCTAGTGCCACAGAGGTTAGAATGCAACATTGCAGGAAACTCTGCCTACAGGTTGGAATTCAGTCCTGATAGAGCTGAAGATTGACTCAGCCTTCCATCCTTCAGAGATTGATAAAATGAGGACCCAGACTGTTGGGGGCAATATGCTGACTCTCTAAACTGCCCAGAGGGTATAGATAATCCCCGAGTTACGAGCATTCACTTAACGCTTGTTCAAAGATACATTCTGAGCGCCCCCTAGTGCTTATAAGCAAGTCCCAAAGTTATGAATATTGCAGCATCATGGCAGTCGTTTGCCCTTATGAGCGACCGCAATGGCTCTGCAACATTCAACCTGGTATTCCCTCCCTCCCCACCCCTGCCTGGGTGTTCTGTCCCAGCCTACATAAGTCCTTGTTGTGCTCACAAGGAGAAACCCCTCTTCCAAGAAACAGGCAAGAACCACGAGAAAAAACCAATCCCTTTTATTCTTATAGACCCGAGTCAATGTCCAAGGCAAACACAGTCCACAGAAACTCGATACTCAACAGAAACGGTTGCCTTCGGCAACCAGCACTTCCTACACCTTCCCCTTTTATACTTCAGCCAAGGCGTGGCTTCCTAATGCCTTCTCCTTTGCCTTTGGAGCCATCCCATTGCATTCCTCTGTCCTACTCTCTTCTCCTGTCTGCGCATTCGTGCATCCCGGGATTTGTCCCAGCTGTTCCTCATCGCTGTCCAACTCAGGCTCTGAGCACAGCTGTGTTTCAGCCCGAGCACGATTAGAGGGGCCAGGCTCCTCGTCCGACCATACGTCTTGGAGCTCCTCAGAGCCTTCCTCTGATTGTAATGTCACTCCAGATCCCTCTTCCTCATCTGAGTCCTCAGACTCAGCTGCCAGATCCACTGGCTGGCGAGGAATCACAACACAGGTCTCCCTAGGCACCAGGCCTTCAATACTCACCCTGCGAAGATCGAGATCCTTTGTTTTCATGGCTGCTCCAGGCCTTTGGTCCATTCACAGAGAATGGATGCCTAAAGTAATGCAAGATCAAGCAAGATCAGTGGGGCGACACTGATCTTGCGTGATCTCATGGTACTTTAGGCTTCTGTTCTCTGCAACAAAGAACAGAACCAAAGCCGGGGGATGCTACTGTGTGTCTCTGGAGGCTGAATCGGGGCTCTGGAGGCCATTTCCAGGCCATTGCAGCTTGGATCTAAGGCTGGGGGAGACTTTTTTGCTTCCCTGTGGCCCGATCCAGGCTCCAGAGGCCTTTTCCAGGCCCAATCGGGTGGGGGAGGGGGTCACGGAAGTGTTCCTCGACCTCAAATCTGGGCTGTAGCACCCTGGAAAAGGCCTCCAGAGCCTGGATCAGGCCACACGGGGTGCGTGAAAGCCTCCCTCGGCTTCAGATCCAAGCTGCAGCAGCCTGGAAAAGGCCTCCGGTGCCCGAATCGGGCCACGCGGGATGTGCAGAAGCGCTCCCTCGCCTCAGATCCGGGTGACAGCAGGAACCGCGGCAGAGAGGAGACTGATCTTTTCCAGGTGAGTCCGGCGCGGCACGAAGGGAGGGGGAAGCATGCGGTATCTTAATGGGTTGGGGAGGCCTTGGGGGCCTGTTCCAGCACTAGGCCTTCCATGGCCTTCCCCACCCTGAGATACCTCATGTTCGCTTAATGAGCTGCATGCGTTTGAATGAGAAAGGGAATGATCTCGTATCTTGAACGAGATTCACTTTACGAGTTTTTTATTTACAACTGGAATGGGCAGGCTCCATTACACTCGTAACTCGAGGACTACCTGTACTATAAAGCATTATGGGGCAGTCTAAGCGCTATTGCTAAGTGCTAGTACTATCAATTTAATTAGAAAAGGAAATAAAAGTCATTGACAGTAAATTAGTTAACAGGAATCCAAGTGAAGATAATTATAACAAATGCACTGTTCCAAAAGTACCTCTTTGCTGTTACACATTGTTACATGAACCAGCCATTGAGGTTGCCAGTAGTAATGTATGGCTGTGAAAGTTGGACCATAAGGAAGGCTGGGCAACAAATAATTGATATTTTCAAATTGTGGTATTGGAGAAGACCCTTGAGAGTCCCTTGAATTGAAAGGAGATCAAATCAGTTAATCCTAAAGGAAATGAATCCTGAGTGTTCTTCAGAAGGATAGATTCTGAGGCTGAAGCTCAGTGCTTTGGCCCTCATATGAGAAGATAGGACTCATTGGAAAAATCTCCAAAGTTGGAAAAGATTAATGGCAAAAGGAAAAGGGGATGGCAGAGGATGAGATGGTTAGATAGTGTAATTGATGCAACAAACATGAAATTGAGCAAACTCCAGGAAACATTGAAGACATATTTCAGTGTTGAACTTGTTGATGATTTTCTTCATTATTTGACTGTTAATTGATGCAAAGTGAAATAGAAAATAATTCTTGACTTTTAAATTGTGTTTGTTAAAATGTCCATCTTTTCTGATAATTTGCTTTTCTGTAATGATTTTTGGTAGCAAAAAGAGTTGCCACTTTTTAGAATTGATCCTAATTAAGGCATTAAGTTAATTTTATAAACAAAAGTGATATCAAAGTTATATGGTTTTTTCTGAATGTAACGTATCAATGTTTCTGTAATGATTAAACAAAACAGATTGGATGCCATTTTAAAGTTATTTTTATTTGAACATATTTATAAGAGTCTCATTTGGGACACATTTTCTACATGTATTTTCAAAAAAGATGCTTACTGCTCTATTTATCGCAACATATAAATACATCGGGAAAATATCTCAGTGTACATTCTTCTCCCCACCTCATACATTCCCATTAAATATTGTATTTTCCATTCTTATTTATAATTTGTTCACAATGCTTCACTGATATCTATAATATTTTAACCAGATCTTCATCAATCCAATCAATTTCTTGGATTGCATTAAGATTTTATTATCTATTTTGCCATTACCCACAGATAGCCAAATTTTCAGATGCTTAGAATGCAACATTAGTGTCAACACTAGTCAGTGCTGTATTCACTTTATTATGCCATGTATTCCAGTGTCTATATTACAGAAATCTATACAGTAATTTTTACAGAAAATCCAAGTGTTTTAATCAATTTCTACAAATGGTTCTTCAAATTTGCTTTATGCACATTCACTGTGAATAGGAAGTCTTATCTACAGTTGTAATTGACAAGAAAAACAACTAAAAACAATCCATTTCTACAAACAATATTAAAAATTGTCAGTAGGCATAGCCTCTTTGAAGTATCCACCAACTTCTTACTTTTTTCCTTTAAGATTAGTGTAAAATTAAAATTTAAAGTATCTTATTTATATAAAATGACAAATATAAGATTATGGAAAATGGATTTAGTTGCAAACAAACCTGACAATTTTTTCATTGCATTTGTAACATAACTTGCCAATATACTTTTTTAAAAAATACAAGAAAAAGAAAAATGTAATTTATTAGTAAGAGTTGCTTTTGGTTAAATTGAATTTGACTTTTGGCCCAATCTTTATGAAGAAATAAACATTCTATCTGTTCAGATATCAGTGGGTAAGTTATTACAAGCTTTGATTTAAAAAGCAACATCCATCTCAAAGACGAAACAAATTTTGAACAAATATAAAGTATTTGTTCCATATGCCAGGATAAAACTATAGCTAATAACTACAGACAGTCGCCAAAGCATACATTTTTGTTTTTAAACATAATATTTTAAACCCAATAAATTAAATGTTAAACTTTAGGCACCAACAAGTTAGTACTAGGTTTCATACCATATATATTATAAAAAACATTTTAACAGCAAAAAGCAAAGTTATGATTGTATTGTATGTTGTACCAGTTCCCTAGCCATAGTAAAATAGGTCCCCACAAAAATAGATGTCAGAATAATATAGAAAGTTTAGCATTTTGCTTAGTCACTAGACCAAGATCCTTTACTTGTTCAGGTAGCTGTAGTGGCATTCTGTCACAGGTTTTTTTAGTTTTCCCAGTTCCCATTTCCCTAATAGATTATGGAGAATGAAGTGCAATCAAGTATTCTATCAAGTAATAACTATAGTCTGTTACCTAAGAAACAATATTAAATCAGGACTCCTTCTCTTCCTGTCTGTCTTAGCTACAATATCTAAAACAGCTGCAGGAAGTATAACTTTAATAACCTACTGATTCCTCATGCTTTCAGAACAGTTGCAGGAATGTATTCCAGTCCAGAATTATAAAGACTTTTGGTGGAGAATCTTTTAGGTCACAGCTTGTTTGAAGAAAAAAAAAATGCAAATCGATACCTTGTCTTCATCCTCTTGGCCAAAATCCCCATGCTATTCCTGGCAATAACAAAGCAATGACTACAGAGGAGAAGAGGTTCACTGCATTGTTATCCAGGATTGGTTTACCAGAAATGTGTGTTGCATTTTCTGTCTGATGGTTGACAACCATTCCAGTACGTTTATCAAAACCTGAAGAAGCAGTAAAAACAGCATGTTAACCAAATGGAGAAAACAGTCTTCAACAACACAATATGGCATCAACTTCAAAACAGAAGTCAAAGGTGTATTTGGCCCTCATTCTTATGTAAGGGTTTGGCTAAACCTGGCTATTTACAATTAAAATTTTGCTGTAGTAAACTGCCCTTTAAAGATAGAATACTGAAGCTGAGATTCTTAGGCTGAATCAATAAGAATCAACAAAACTACTACCCATTTTGTCAGTCTCAAGTTATTTCCCAGGTAAGAGTTTACTTCGAGATCACTGTTGACATATTGTGAGATTTATTGCTAGTGGAAAATGGCCACTGTCACAGCAGCAAATGATTGAAAAAATTATGTCTGAGGACAAGGTTGCAGATCGTAAAAAAGTCAAAAGTGTAGGCTGTAATCCTATATATACTTTTTTCAAAAGCAGCTCTGTAACACTCCTCAACTTTTAATCTTAGTCTATTCCATTTCAGACAGGGAAAATGTTCTTTTTTAGATTAAACAACTTCTAAACATGAAGGGAACAAATCTGTTCTTGTTGTGCAATTGTTTATATTTCTGCCAAGGGATTTATAAATCTCAATTTCCTATTATCTGTATGTTGTAGGTAGCAGGACTGCGCAGAGCTTTGGATCTGACTGCAGTTAGGCACTTTGGAGTGCATGAAAGTGCTCATAGACAACCTGTCTGCAAGTCTTAAGGCAGCATGTATGCAAGTCCAAGAAAAGTCATTGATTCATTAAACAACTGCAGACAAATGTTTTGTTTCCATTTTCACTAAAATATTTTTTAATAGTTTAGATTTAGGTAGAATATCAACTCTCCCTCCCCCAAATGTTGACTCTAACTCTTAATAACTTCCAGCTAAGTTGCTTACCTTCAGTATAATGCTTGTTATGTCTTGTTAAGAATTTTTCAGTATTACTCTTTATTATCTGATGTTAACTGGAATATGCTGTATATCAGGGGTCCCCAACCCCCGGTCGGTGGAACGGTACCGGGCTGTGAAATGCCAACAACCGGTCCGCACGAACAAGCAAAGCCCCATCCGTGGGATGCAGCCAGCACACAAAACCACGCACTCTCCGGTCCGTGGAAAAAACTTTCTCCACAGAACCGTCCCTGGTGTCCAAAAGGTTGGGGACCTCTGCTACATATGACGAAATAGCAATATCAATTAGTATTTCTAATTTATTTAATATAAAACATAAAAATATTTAAGATAAACATATTCTATGGTTATCAATCCTACATGTTCTACATCAGGGGTGTCAAACTCAATTTCATTGAGGGCCACATCAACATTGTGGTTGCCCTCTGGGGGGGGAGCGTGGCTGGGACGCGTGTGGCCTACTGGGTGAGCGTGGTTGGATGGGCGTGACCGATTGGGTGGGCATGGCCAGCTCCATATCACTCACGTCAGGGGTGCCTGGGCAGGACTGGGGCAGATCTGAGGGTCTCTGGCGGAGGGTGGGACCAGGGTGAGCGCCAGGACATAGTCCACTGGAGGAGTCTCACCATCCTTCTCAGGCCGGGCAGATGTCAAGCACCCAGCCCTCGAGTTCAGGGACCCTGCAGCCCAGCCTAGCCTAGCCCCACTTCCCCAAAGGGGTGCCCAGCTGCGTTTACCACCTCCTCGAGGCTGTTGCTGCTGTGCTTGCTCTCCTTGGCCAAGTTGCTTATGGTGTGTGCGGGAGGGCAAAATGTGTGGGTCAGAGAGAGGCCCACTCCCTCTCCCTGTGAGGATACCTGGCTTTGTAACCAAAGCATCGTCAGTGATAGGATGGGTGACCATCAGGAGGAGGGGACAAGGGAATGGCGAAAGGGCAGCAGGGCTGCTCATGGCCAAATGCTAAAGCAGGACTTCCTTCCTTCCTTCCCTCCCTTCCTTCCTCTGTTCTTTCCTTCCTCCCTCCCTTTTTCCCTCCCACTCTCCCTTCCTTCCTGTTCCTTCTTTCCTCCCTCCTACCCTCCGTTCCTTCCTCCCTGCTCCTTTCTTCCTGTTCCTTCTTTCCTCTCTCCCTTCCTGTCACCCTCTGTTCCTTGCTTCCTTCCTCCCACCCTTCCACCCACCCTCCCTTCCTTCCTCTGTTCCTTCCTCCCTCCCTCCCACCCTCCCTTCTTTCCTGTTCCTTCCTTCCTCTGTTCCTTCCTCCCTCTCTCCCTCCCTTTCTTCGTCCCTGATCCTTCCTTCCTCCTTCCCACCCTCCGTTCCTTCCTCTCTGTTCCTTCCTTCCTCCCTCCCTCCCTTCCTCCCTGTTCCTTCCTTCCTTCCTCTCACCCTCCATTCCTTCCTCCCACCCTTCCTTCCTCTGTTCCTTCCTTCCGTCCTCCCTCTCTCCCATCCTCCATTCCTTCCTTCCTCCCTTTTTTCCCTCCCTCCCTCCCACCCTCCGTTCCTTCCTCCCTGTTCCTTCCTTCCTCTGTTCCTTCTTTCCATCCTCCCACTCTGTTCCTTCCTCCCTGTTCCTTCCTTCCTTCCTCCCTCCCTTCCTTCTTTCCTCCATCCATTCTTTCCTTTGCTTTCTTATCTCTTTCCTTCCCCCGCGCTCAGGAAGGGGCAATGGGAGGGGGAGAGATTGCCATCGGCCATTGCTATACCACATGGGCGGATGGAGGCAGTCCCGTTGAAAGGGATGCCTCGTGGCTGCGAGGCTGGAGGTGCTGGTGGAGGGGTGGCGCTGATCTACAACCTGGTTGCGTCCATTAAAGCCAGAACGCGCTCAGCCTTACATCCACTGGAACCAGCAAGGAGCTACCCTGCCGCCTCGGTCTTGTCCCCCGAGTGTGCGCACAGGAGGCGGCCAGCACCAGCGTCCTGGGTGAAGTCAGCCTGTGGGGCAAGACAGTCAGCAGGGGTGCCGGACTCCACTTGCACACACATTCAGGGGACAGGGCGGGGCTGCCCCGTGAATTTAAGACTGAGCGCATTCTGGGTTTGATGGACGCAACCAGGTTGTAGATCAGTGCCACCCCACCTCCCACCAGCACCTCCAGCCTCACAGCCACGAGGCTTTCCTTTCACCAGGACAGCTCCCCCGCCCACGTGGGATAGCAAGACCAGCAGCAACATGGCAACACTGGCAATCTCTCCCCCTCCCCTTCCTGAGCGCGGAAGAGATGAGAAGGAGAGAAGGAAGAAAGTGTAGCAAAGAGGGGAGCTGGGGATCAGCGCTGGCTGGGAGGCTTTGCTGGAGCTCTGCGGATTCGGCAGAGAGGTCGGGAGCTCCGGTGGCCTCTGCGGTGGATGGCGGCGGGGCGGGGCTCCTGGGGAAGGATCTTTAAAGGGGAAGAGGAGAGTGTGGGAAGAAGATTTTATTTTCTCTTTTCTGGAGGAGGGAGAGCGAGGTAGGAAGTTGGCGAAAAGGCTTTTTATTCTTTAAAAAGGCCGTCGGAGCTCCCAATCTCTCTGCCGAATCCACAGAGCTCCAGCAAAGCCTCCCAGTCAGTGCTGATCCCAGCCAGCACTGATCCCCCCAACTCTCCTCTCCACTACAAAAGAAACGAAAGAACAAAGGTTCCACGGGGCAGCCCTGGAATCAGCAAGGAGCTGCCCTGCCGCCTCTGCCCCATCCCCTGGGTGTACGTACAGGAGATGGCCAGCGCCGGCGTCCTGGGTGAAGTCAGCCTGCAGGGCAAAACTGCCAGCAGGGATGCTGGACTCCACTTGTGCGCGCCCCCAGGAGGTGGGGCAAGGTTGCCCGTGTTCTGGCTTTGATGGATGCAACCAGGTTGTAGATCAGTGCCCGGTGGGCCTGGGCCAGACCGAGGTGCAGCGGGCAGGTCTTTTGCTATTTCCAGAGCAGGTCCCCGGGCCGGACAGAACCACATATCGGGCCAGATGCGGGCTGCAGGCCTTGTGTTTGACATGTCTGTTCTACATGATAAGATTACATTACTTTCTGTCCTCCTCTAACATGAAACTATCAGAATAACTATGAAAGACTATGGAAATCAGTACAAAAAGACTTACTACGTTGGAAAAAACTTCAGTTTTCTTTGCTGGGTNATATCCTACCTAAGTTTCTTTTTCTATTTCAGATGTTACCTATTTTAAAAAATGAATTGAACTTGAAAGAATGGCAGAGAGACTTGAACCGCTTTATTTGGGAGGGCAAGAAAGCGAGAGTTAAATTCAAGATTATTCAAGATGTTAGAGAACGTGGAGGACTTAAAGCTCCAAATTTGACACTGTATTATGATTCTTGAACTTTGCAATCTTAATAACATTTATTAAAACCTGCTTTTGCACATTTCCTAATTGATTTTTATAACAAATTATAACAATAGTTCATTACAAATATTCCAATTTGTAACAGAATCATTACTGTGTTACAAATGTTCCAATTTGTTTTATAGTATAGTAAAAAATTATAATGGCACTTTTTTTTAGATCCTGTGGGTTTAGTAATTTTGAACAGGAGAGGAATTGTTTATTTTTGTACTCCTACATTTATCTAAAGAGCTATTGTTTCTCTTTGGAAGAACAGCATACTTCTTGATAACGGATTCAATGCCATGTTGCTTTAATGTAATATTATTAAAGTTGTGCATTGGAACAGTTTCAAGGCATATGCCAGATATGCACTATGTATTATTCAATAAGTCCACCAGCCATTTATCATGCATGTCGAATGAATTTGCAATCTTACTTAGGCAAACAGTAATAACTACAATGGGCTTTCCAGCATGTAAGGATCCACTCTTCATAACTGATGGTCTTTGTTTTTGCTGAATATATTACATAATTCATAAAAATATTTTATGTAATGTTACTAATTCAGATTTTAGAATTAGTAATAATCAAATATTCTTAGGGAATCCAGAGTTCAGTGGCCTATAAAAGTACTTATGTACTTTTATAGTATTCTTTAATATCTTCATAAATGACTGAAGTGAGGGAATAGAAGGGGAAGTCATCAAATTTGCAGATGACAATAACCTGGCAGGAATAGTCAACACCCTAGAAGACAAGCTCAGGATCCAAAAAGATCTTGACAGACTTGAACAATGGGCCCTATCCAACAACACGGAATTTAACATAGAGAACAATAAACTTTTATACCTAGGCATTTTATTCCTAATAGCTGAAAATTAGTTAATAAGCTATACCTAAAAGTAATTAGAAAAAAGAAGTTTTAGTAATGTTTAATTGTTTTTTGACTGGGACTGGAATTTGATTATTTGGAAATACAAGGGGATTTGTTTAAAGACACATTTGTTTGCTTATTAAATCCAAGAAATACATTTGGATCTCCTGCCTGCTGGATAGCATTGTGATTGGATCTTGAAAAATTAAATTTGGATGCATGGGTTCTAGATTTCTATGGCAAATGATATATTATTTGCTGTTCCCTGGGAGGAGACAGCAAATATATTGTTTTCATATAAGAGGTTAATCTCCACTGTTATAATGTTTTTATTTCTCTATTGAGATAGTAGGTTCTGTGTTGTCTTTTTGAGCAAAACGTTATGTTTTTGGCTGCATTAACCCATGTTGCAGTTCTTACCATTGTTCTCCTTCCTTTCTTTTACATTTGTCACTGTCTTGTGGATCCATTTATCATTCTCATTGCTTCTAATATAAAGAGGAGATGAAGTTATAGATGGTGACTATACTTTGTTTATTAATCAACTCTTCTGTCAACCAGGACAATTTAATTACAATACAATAAAGTTTAAATAAAAAAAATGAAGGATTCATATTGGACATAATACATTAAGTTTGCAATTTGGAATTTTTGATAAGTCTTACTAGACTTTTGCTGTTTAATATGGACAGATGAAGTTTTAGAGATGGGCTTATAGAATGAAGACATTTTGGTTGTATTTTAAAAAATAGTGCTAAATTGTTAATGTTGATTATGCTTGATGGAGATTAAGAGGGGTTCTATTTTTCTATTTTTTTAGTGCTTAAACATATTCTTAATTATTTTAATTTTGTGTAAATTATTTAAAAACATTTTTATTGTGTTGTATTTTATTTGTATAATATAATCTTTAATAAAGTTATTGAAAAAAAGGACAGGAAATAAGTGAACCAGTGTCCTTTTGAAAGTGCTAACCGCATTACAGCAAGATGTCTATTGCTTCATCTCCACAGCTTTAAACACACTGGACACTGAAGTTTCCTCACAACGAGCAATAACTTAGCAATCCAATGAGCAAATAGCACAGGATAAGCATATATTTCCAGTGTACTGGTTGCAAAGAATTGTTCTTTATAGGCAATTTGTTGGGAAGCCTTGGAGAATTCTATTATTTATAACAGCCTTGCAATTCATTTACATTTTATGCACACCTTGGAAATTTTATTCCCATTTGCCCAAAAGGGGGGAAAAAACAAAGAAAATTACAATCAAATATACACTCAGGCACCTTCTGTAAGCTATACATTTTGGATGCACATATACATACCTAAATTGACAAGAAATATAATTATTACCAAACTAAATTGATGGGATTTACAACAATAGTAATGTTAAATATTACTGTATTATATAATATATGGTGAAGAATAATGCTATTTTATTAATTTCTAGGGTGCCCAACTCTAAAACAAGCTTGAGCAGTTTCACTAGATTAAAAAAAAATGACTATATAAAAAAATAACAGAAGTATGTTTAGATATTTGGTTGTAAATAATATCATGAATACAATTTTGGCTTAGCGAATAACATGTTAAAAGTCCTGTTCAACTCTAATCAGGCTTATAATTTGTTGTCTCCTTTTTGTTGCTTTCTGGATAGTTTGGCTAATGGCTGGCAATCATGGGAGATGTAACTAGAAGTTCTATATCATATAAAGCTGCTTATCCCCACTTTATACAAACAGCCTCTAATATAATAAAAACACACAGATACATATGCTTGTGCTTGGAAAATTAGATGTCAGAGACCAACAAAATATAACACCCTCTGTTTAATAATAATAATAATAATAATAATAATAATAATAATAATAATAATAATAATAATAATAATAATAATAATAATAATNGATGGATTGTTTATATACAAAAGAAGCATAGAATAGTGGAATATAATTTAGGTTTTTAATTAACTGGTTTTTTTTTATGTATATATTTCTTTTATTCATGCAGAATTTATATACCTTGTGGAGTTAGAGATATTATTAATTGTTTACTTATATTTGAATATTATCCTGGGATTAGGTTTGGGAAGTCTCGGGGGGGGGGATGCGGGTTTTATATTATATTTGTGTTGTATTTGTATGTTTTCTTTTTATGATGAAAATAATAAAAAAATTTATTGAAAAAAAAAAAAAAGATTACATTACTTTTCTACTAATCTAAAAAATTATTTAAAAACTTACCACTGTACTGCATTGTTGCTCCTAAATAGGAATCAATGATAGAGCCTAGTAAACCAGCAGAACCACCAAACACAATAATTGGCCATTGTGGAGCAGATATGTCCAAATCATTCACAAAAATCAACTGGGAAATGAAGTAAGCCATGCCAACGAATGTGCCTCCAAGCAAACTTGAAATTAAACCCACTAAAGTAACACCTCCATTAGTACCTAAAATAAATGAAATATTCCAAAATTAGTATTCTAAATTTGCATTAAATAGAGCAGTGATGGCGAACCTTTTAGAGACCAAGTGCCCAAACTGCAACCCAAAGCCCACTTATTTATCGCAAAGTGCCAGGGCTGCATCAGCATTGTGGTGCCCTCAGGGGGGGTGGGGGAGTGTGGCTGTAGTGGTCACGGCAGACTGGGTGAGCGTGGTCGGGGCCAGGGCGGCGGGGGCCAGTCCCTCGCCATCTCCAGGGCATCCCGGGGGGCCAACGCCACTTGCTCGCTCACTTCCTGCCCTGTCACTTCCAAATGCCACGTGCTCGCTACTCTGGCGAACTCTGCTGGGGCAACGGCGCGCATGCCCACAAAGAGGGCTCTGAGTGCTGCCTCTGGCACGCGTGCCATAGGTTTGCCACCACTGAAATAGAGCATAAAACCTGACATACTACACATATTTGGACAATATCTTATTTTAAATAAAATTACATTGACAATATCCATCTTTATTCTTTTCGCAGGACAGCAAACAAGTAAAACAAAAAGGAGAATCCCAGTAACCCTTAATCCATTTTAAGCTAACCTCAGCAAATACCATGTGCTACCACTGATGCAGCAATCTAGCTGAATCCACCTAATTAAAAAACTTGGAACAAACTTCAATTTTTCTCTTTCCAGAAATGCACTGTTAATACTAATATTAATTACACCCATCGCCTGTTCACCGCCCTGAGTCCCGTAAGGGAGATAGGGTGGTATATAAATTTAATAAATAATAATAATAATAATAATTATTATTATTATTATTATTATTATTATTATTATTATTCCAATCATTGTTCACTTCAGTGACAGGATTATCATATTGTATTAAACTGAGACTTGTTTTAAATAGTAATGTCCTTGGTTAATACATGACACAAATTCATCACTCAAACAACTGCATTATGCTTTTAGCAAGGTAATAATATTGTTATAGTTGAACTGAGAAAAATTTGTACTATATCAATATATAATATATAATTGTACATTTTTGCTCAAACCAAAGTTTTCCAAGGTGACTTACAATATCACAAGAACAGAGTAATACACAGTGCATAATAACATAAAAGCAACAGAGTACTGAAAGTTTATTTGCAGCAAGTTGCAAGGATAAAAAGTCTTCACCTGGCATTGTAAACACAATAAAATTAATGCTACGCATATTTTAATCGGAAAGCAAATGAGAAAGCTATGTATAAAAATGTCTTCTCTGATGGACAGTTTACAATGGGAGGACAATGGTAATCCTCGACTTGTGACCAAAAGTGAACCCAGAATTTTAGTTGTAAGTTGTTGTGATTGTAAGTTACGTCACTGTGTGACCAGACTTGATCGTATGACTGTTTTTATTACAGTGGTTAAACAGGTCACTATGGTTGTTAAGCAAATCACAGGGTCATCAGTTCAAATCCAGGTTCTCCAATGGATGGTTTTAGGCATACAAAAACATTTTTCTATTTAAGGGCTATCTGGCAGTTACACCTCCTCACCAAATTAACATATTAATCACAGACTTATTATAATTGTAAACAGCTGTAATGGAATGCATTAGTAGTCTTAAGGAAGGAGAAGAGAGATGCTGCCTAGGAAAAATCAGACAAGACAGGCAGGAGCCCACAATTACTTAACTGTCATAGAAAGAAAATGAGAAAGGGCCTGCCCTAATGGATCAGGCAGTTAAAAGTGTCTGCTGGGAAGTTTGCAAGAGTCTGTTAATGTAGCCTTACAATAAAGTAGAATTAGGTAATCTAATTCTGTTTCCTATCTGGTTTACCTGGAAGGACAACATGTTAGTTTCGGAGATATTTTGGCCAACTGTATTACTGCATCAATGATTCAGCTACATGGTAACTGGGAAATAGAAGGCAAAAGTTCAACTAATACAAGTCTTTCAGGCCAAATTCAAGACTATTCAAGCTACACTCATGGCTGAGTTTACACATCATGCTAAATCATGAGGGTTTATTTGATTGTGGTTTTCTGCATGTGATTCTACTCATGATTTATAAACCATGGTTTATAGTTCAATATGTAGGAATCTAGTCAATTATTGTTTATATAATATGGTTGCTAAAACAATGCTTAACATTAATTAAACCAAGACCACAGAAAGAATGTTGAGAGACTGTTTACTATCATTCATTCAGCTGAGATAATTTTGAAATTCAAGCTCACCTACTGGAACTTTTTTCCAGGTTGTTATTAGCCGGGGTTCATGACCTATGACAGTGCCAATTTCTGAAGCCCAGGTGTCCCCAGCACAGCAGGCCAAAGCACCCAGTAATGATAGACACATCCAGGATGCTGTGTATTGTTTAGAGAAATCTACTGGAATTTCACCTGGTCCATTTTCAATCATATATAGCAGAGCCAATTCTGCAGGTACACCACCATTGCAAAATACCTGCACCCAATTTCTTTGTCCACCTGTATACAAACAGAGAAGCTATAAGCTGTTAAGAGAAAACAAACATTTAACAGCCTGGAGAGTATATACTTAGAGAAAAAATGAGTAATGCTATGCTTATCTCAAATCATTAAATTTTCAATTTTGACTCAAAGCAAATATTAATACAAAATTATGTTGCTTACATATTTAACTCAGGTGATTCATTAGAAAGATGATGTCAAAAAATATTTATTTAGCCTACAGATCCAATCCACTAGATATTGGTGATTAAATATATTTTTTTACCCATTCCCCTTGCAACTTTCCAAAGATCACAAAAATTGGCCTCTAACAATGCTTGCTTATTCTAAAAATATCCATTCCTTTCTCTCAATAGAATCCTGTTCCCCAAGGAAATATTTCCAGGATCTTGATGAATGATAAGGAAAGGACAAAAGTGAAGTGGGGAAGGCCAGCTTCTTCCTACCCTGATCCAATCTAAGGATTACAAAGGTCCCCAAATCCTTATTGTTTTCCTTGCATAGGTGCTCTTGTTTGGGGCCTGCCATTCTGCTGGGAGGGGGAGAGGAAGTTTACTTTCGCTTGGGATAACTTTCGCTTTCTGCTTTTCTTCTTCCGCCCCTACCCACTTGAGAAAAGACTGTGTCTCCCTTATCAGGGAGACAGCTATGGAGAAACGAAACTGGAGAAGACCTTGAGATGTGCGCCAACTGTGCCAGTTACCCCAAAATCATACCACCTGTGGATTGGCTGGATTTCAAATGGACACTATGACTTTGGTGGGAGGAGGAAGATTGCTAGTTTAACTATACCATTTAGGCGGGCTTTTCCCCAGATCTCGCTTTGACTTCCCTACTGTCACTAACCCCTAATAAAAGTTCCTTTTGCGACAATGCCTGTTTCAAGAGTTCTGCTTTCTTGGGTGTTTAGCTGAGGAGGGTCCTTACACCATTCCTTCCCTAAAATCATAGGGAAAATCATCATCATTAAATTTCTTAAAACTAAAAGCTTACCTTCTTTGTATTCTGAATCTATTTGTTTTTTTACTTCTCCTTTCCACTTGGTAAGTTTGGAAGAAGTAATGAAAAACATGAGCATGGAGGTAAAAAAGCTGTAATTTGCAACAGTGAGGATAAATCCAACAATTAAACCTGAAAGAAGGAAAGTTGGAGAATTGCAATTTACTTTTTGCAATCACTTTCTTCTAGAAATTTAATTATTTGACTTTTAAAAAGAAATTGGCATCAACCTATACTGAAATAATAGTCCAATAATTTTATTGTTTTGCGCAGATTGTGCAAGTTAAAGCAATCTTGCAGGAGGAAAACACTATGTAGTAACAATATCAAAAAGAATCACAAAACAGTTGCAATATGGAATACTCCTATTCAGTTTTCTAGCCAGCCATATCTTGTTTTATGATATTCCACTGCATTCTTCTATAATATTGAACATACTCAATTCTCCTTTAGCTGATTTATATGGATTCCTGTCTTAAGTTATTTTCCTCAAAAGATTTGTTCTATTTTAAATCTTGATTCCTTCTCCAACACACTATACCTCAACATCTGCTATCAGTATATAAATAGGAACAGTTATTCCAATACTTCATTTCTCTTTCCTATTCTTTTTTCTTTAGAATAGGAAAACAAAACAAAAGATTATGAGCAAAGAATACCTTCTATTTCAGCTCTTCAGGGGTCTTTGAAAGTATTGGGCAATAAAATCTCCAAATTCAGTATTTATGTAGTATTTTTACATTTTATGGAAATATAAGCTAGCTTCCCCATGTTTCTGCATTCCATATGTAATGGTCTAAACGCCATCATTCCAATTAATATGCTCATTAATTATTCTACCTTATCTTGTTTGGAGGAAAGCAGCACTACACCTTTCGTTCTGTTTATAACTCTCTTCAGGCTATTGCTTCTACCAGAACATTCTGGTAATATGACTGGAAGAATATCATCCATTCATAATCCAGGTATCTGAAGATACATTCATATCAATTTTTCTTATATTCTGCATTTGGTGTTTCTGATAGAATCTGGTGTGTTTCCTAAATTCCGTTTTTATCAGTATTTCAAATTTTATTATAAATGCTAGATTCACACAAACTCTAATAATAACCATAAATAAATGAAATAATTCATATTCTCCATTCCTCCCATGTAACTTAAAACTGTAGGCCATTTTGAAGAGTGTGGAATAATCAAGATGAGTTTCTGTTAAACGAGTTAGATGAAACTTGCTAAGAATCATAATTACACTATGAATTCCATAAAGAAAAGGTTGCACAATAATTATCAGGTACAGAGATAGCAATTTTTTCAGGGGTAAAAAGCCATCAAATTATTATTCAATATAGACCAAGCATCCTCCTTACCCAAATTATGTGAGGTTGGATGCTCTGGATACTTTTGAAGCTTCTTTCCTCCTTTAAGTCCCAATTCTTTAGCACAGTATTTCTAGTATAGGCAAATTTCTCAACTATACTAATGAAGTATTAGTATGACTACATTAATTATTTTGAATATGCTGAAAAATACAAAGAAAAATGCTTGCATAGCTGCTGTAGTAATCTACTGCCAATAACTTTTATTGACCTATTCTGATATCAGATATCAGAAGAAATATCAAATTTCTTCTAAAAGGACCCCAGTGTCTTATTGTGGTTGATCAGACATAGGATCTAAAATTCCTCAGGCTATTTTCGATATTTGTATAGGACAACTTGACTGAATATATGTACACACACATACAAATGTACATACATATACTTACATATACACACTCACATATACACAAATAAAATTTCATCTGATACCAGGTATACATACGCATATATACATACATACATATATATACACATACATACATACATACACATACATATATATACATACATATATACATATATATATATACACACACACAAATGTAACTCATATTTGTTATGAGTTACTCATTATTTGAGTAATGTCTATGTTTACATTAATTACATAATTTGAACATAAATATCTATTCAAGTAATGAGTAACTCATAACAAATCCAATTCTATGGAGCCCAACATAACCCTAGATTAGATACCATCATATGAAGTATAAAAGATAGTTGCATAGATTTAGAGACAAGCCACCTCTGAATTCTACTTTATTTTCCATTCCGGGTGCAGAAGAGAATTTGCCAAATGATACATCAAATAATAAATAATTTACATATATTTATCCCTATAAAGTGATGGGAATAGATTATTGCCACAATAAGAAGAGAATTGTCATGAGTCTGACTAATGATTATTTCAACCTTGCACCTCCAGGTAACACTTTAAAAAAAAAAGCATAATGACAATAAACAAAAATACATCTTAATGCTAAGTTGAAAGGTGAAGGAAAATACCTACATCTCAAAAATCTATACAGACAACCAAAATTAAGAGATAAGGCCATACCTCCTATTGCTCCACCATGATCAAGACTCTTTTTCTTAAATCCTCGTGAAGCAATTATTAGTGGAATTAAAATTGAAAAAAGCCAGCGCCATGGAGAAATTGGCCGCAAACTACCTAAAAAGTATGTTGAAAACAGTACACAGAATGTCAAGACCAATATTCTATTGTACAAATCATGTTTTTAAAACTGTTGAAGTAACATACACTTGAAATTGTATCACTTTATATACAAGTACAGTAAAATATTCTGGGATAGGGGAGCAGTTAGGTTCTATGAAAAAAAACACACCCTCTAATGGCAATGGGCCAATTGAAGAAATACCCTGCAAAGTTGGGGTCTCCAATCCCCACCCAGTCTGTTTGGAGCCGCACTGGTCTGCGGCATCCCAGCAACCAGGCCATGCAAACAAGTGAAGCCCCATCTGTGGGATGCAGGCAGCACACAAAACCATGCCCCCCATGGTCTGTGGAAAAACCTTTCTCCATGGAACTGGTCCCTGATGCCCAAAAGGTTGGGGGCTGCTGCTGTAGGGCAGGGCTTTTCAACCAGTGGTACAGGTACCACCTGTGGTACATTGGCACCTGGCAGGTGGTACACGAGCATCCTAGAAAAGTGGTAGCAGGGGAGGGGAATGAGCTGAACCGGTGGCAGCACCGCACAAGCCTGAGCGAGAGACGGATGGAGCTGCAGGGCTGTCAGGGCTCAGGGAAGCGCCAGGATCAGTGCTGCTTTCCAGCTAATTGGTGCTTCTTTGGGGTTGTCAGGGCTCAGCGGAAGCGCCAGGATCAGCGCCAGGCTCCAGCTGGAGCTCGGCGCTGATCCTGGTGCTTCTGCTGAGCCCTGAAGAAGCACCAATCAGCTGGAAAGGAGCACTGATCCTGGCGCTTCCGCTGAGCCCAGAAGAAGCACCGATCAGCTGGAATGTTGCAGCATCTCCAGGGTCTTGTGATTTACATTCAGATGCTTGGCAACTGATTCATATTTATGACGGTCACAGTGTCCCAGGGTCATGTGAAGTGACCAAAACCTGCTGCAACCACCCAGCAGACGGGGGGAATAAAAACCAAACACCACCCCACCCCACCCCCGCTGCCAATCCTCAGCAGAAATGCTCACAACAATGAAAACCTCGGACAGGAAGAAGAGCGTGGCCGGGCGGGCAGGCAGGTGTCTTGCTCGGCTGTGGCTTGGGGGGCACTTTTTTCAGTGCCATTGTGACTTCGAACAGTCACTAAGCGAACTGTTGTAAGTCGAGGACTACCTGTACTTTATCACTTTTTTCCTTTTTTTTATCATCAAGTTTTTGACACCTTGCTAGGCAACTGGTGGTATTCGGATGTTGCCATATCCTAAAAGTGGTACACTGGGTGAAAAGGTTAAAAAGCCCTGCTGTAGGGTATAAAGTGGAAGTAATTTTACCCTTTGTGGAATCTAGAAACACTTTGAATTCAGACATATTTTTCATCCACATCACTTAACAACCAAAATGTTCTTATTTATTTACTTACCTATTGACTATAATTATTTTAACAACTTCATGCAGATTCCTGGCAGTTTATAATCAAACAAAATACATAAAATCACAACAGCCCCCTAAAAGCAACTCTACATTTTCAGCAATCAACTGTGCTACGATAAAGCTCTGTCATGACTGCAAGTGGAAAACTATAAGGGACAATACCATCCGGATCTCTGGAGACCAGTGTTAAGCATAGGGGCAAGGCATGAAAAAACCCAACCATGTTCTAGCCCCTTTATTGATTTTATTTGAGTGGCTGGATTCTCAAGATGGTCTTCTGGTCCTAAATGAACTGATCAAGTTGGTTCTGCCTGAAGCAGGAGAGCCTACCAGTAGCTAGGGACTGAATCATAAAGACTCTGCGCATTAAAGGCAGCATTTTGAATTGTGAGTCATGTGGCACACTTGTTAAAATGCAGTATTGGAGGCTGACTCTGCCCACTGCCAGGAGTTTGATCCTGACCGGCTCAAGGTTGAATCAGTCTTCCATCCTTCCAAGGTCAGTAAAATGAGGACCCATATTGTTAGGACCAAAATGCTGACTCTATAAACCACTTAGACCAGGGGTGTCAAACTCGCAATGTCACGTGACATGTAGCGACATATCGCGACTTTTTTTCCATTGCCGGCAATGGGGTGGGTGCAGTTTCGCCATGATGCATCCAGCCCACGGGCCGGCAGTTTAACATCCCTGACTTAGATACTGCTGTAAAGCACTATGGAGCACTATATAAGTCTAAGTGCTACTGCTATTGCTATTGCTATTGAATTGTACATGGAAACTTGCTGGCAATCAATACAGCACCATAAAATGATACAACACTGGCATTTTGCACCAACTGTAGGTTTCAGGTAGTCTTCAATGAGCCCCACCAAAATTAGGTTTGAGTATGAGCATATGAAAAGTGGAAAGTACAACACAAAATTACAGTATACAATGCTCCTGTTCAGCATTTCACATAGTGTTTCCTTTTCCTTCTGTACCATCTTTTTACTATCAACATGTTTTACTCTTCATATGGTTATTTTCAGTCTCCTTAACATATTCTATCCTCTATTTTAGTCTATTAATATGCTTAATGAATTTGAAATTATAGAGTGTTTTGTAAGCCTTATGAAAGACAACAGAAAGTAAATGGATATTAGACCACAAACACTGCATCCTGGATTCCAAACATACCAGTTGTAACACTGTCCCTTTTCTTTGAAGAAGCTTAGGAAACCATATCCTGTCTAATTTCTTTCATTTTATTTATGCAACAAACCAGTTTATTGGCTAATATATGTTACAGTTGTACAGAAGTGTTTCTCACACTTCTGCAACTTTAAGCTGGCTAGGGAATTTAGAGAGTTGGTGTGCACACATCTTAAAGTTACTAAGGATGGAAACACTGGTTTTGAGGTCTCACACCATCTGAAATTACATTGCCAAAATCTGTTGGCAAAAGTTCTTTTAATTGATAGATATCACTGCGGCATACACAGATGACAGTATTTTAAAAAACGGGTATTTTTATTTTCTCAAAATACCAGCTATACATGCACACACACACAGCCTTTATTATTTTTATAAATAATTCAAGGTGATGAACATACCTAATTGTGAAGCAAATAGAAGGAGATCAGTTATAATAAATTATTGACATAATGTATTCTGAAGCATCTGAAAGTGTACTCATATTTAAAATATATGATTCTCTCAAATACATTATAATACTTCTAGTTACTACCAATTAAATTACTGGCTATACATATATTTCAAATATTAACGTTTTTAAAATATATAGTTTTTAATATTATAAGTGGTTGCATATATTTTGATAAACTTCAGCAGTCACCTAAAATATTTCAGTTATAGAAATATATGGCAAAAGTATGCTTACATATCAACATTAGCTACTGAAAGTAATTAAACTGTGAATGCAATAAACTAAAACATTTCATAAGTATCTAATGACTTTAAATTTACCATAATATGTGCTTGCGGTCATGGACACAATCCAGAAAGATAAAGAAATGCATATAAGTATACTCAAAATGATGATGTTTGTTATCATTTTGAAGTAATCTTTATTGAAATCATTCCAGGAATAAAACAGCATTGAAAATCCAGAACTGATTACCTGTGTATAGAAGAAAGCAGAAAATGTTTTAATTGTTTAGATAAATAAAATATATAAAAAATCATGCAAAGTCAGAAAGAATGAACTATATTTCCATGGGGGGAATTTTGTTACTTTTGTGGAGATAAAGAAAATATATGTGTGCAAATCTGCCCAGTTAAAATATAATACAATACCTTCAAGTCTTTAATGGGGCAACCATTCAGATATTTATGTTTTTTTTGTTACTGTGTGTACAAGTCTTTTGGCATGGGTGCTTATTTGTAATATAAATGCTGACAATTCATCTCAAGAAGTACATTTTGAATGCATGTAGCAGAAAAAGGATGCACAGGTGAATAAAGTAGAATCCTTCCTCACCTTGCACTACTCCTACTGCAAATATTTCTCAGAGTCAAACTCACTGCCACTAATATAGGGTTATCATCAGGCATTCAGCAAAAAGAGGACATGTGTCAGGCATAGTCTTAAAGTATAATGCAGAGGTGTTTTTTGAGTATCTGGGTTTTTAAATTTTTTAAACTGTTTTCATAACAGTGGTCAAACTTTCCTTTACTGTGGCCCTGTAAATTCTCTTCTTTCTTTTCTTTGTTTATCAATAGCTTAGATTTACATTATTTATGTCCTGAAAATAAAGATTTATTGAAACAAATATTACAATTGAAGAACCAGTCTTTTGGTGCTGGAAAAAATGATTTTGTATACATGAAGGCCTACATTTTTGCTATAAATATTTTCACGATGCCAAGAAAGTTAAACATTGTCACTTCTTTTTCTTTCCCCCATCTGTCTTTTCCATTTGTCTGTTTGCCTTTGCCTATTCAAGATACCTGATAACCCTACACTACTAAAGCTACACTGGGAGATGAAGTCTGGAGTGACGGGCTATAAATTGTTGTCACTGTATTCTTTAAAAAAAAAACTTGGGCAAACAAAAGAGAGTCAAACGTTAGTCATCTGCCTTTAACTTACGAGTTTTAATAACCTACTACCAATTCAATGCAAAAGTCAAAGTATAATCCTAATCAAAATAGATATCCAGAATGTATACAAGTCATTGGCTATTTTCAATATATTTTAATATTGGAAATATTCATACTTCATATTCATATCCCTTGAAAAACTTCCAGCATGTATGTGCAGTACAGGATAGAATACGCGTTGGAACAGTCTAGTCTAGGGAAAGCCCTCAACAATTGTGTTTAAAGATACATCCGCCCACACTACTCTTCACTTCTGGCTTCTTATTTAATTTCAATCATTTATATAGTCTAAATGCTGTTGGGCTCGCTGTCCAAGATGCTTAGTACACAGTAAAGAGCAAACGGAGCTCCTTACGAGTAAGGACGGTACTGGGGAAGCATGAGCAGCTCGCTTAACAGGCGCCGAGCCTGCCGAGCTTGCATCTCAACTTCCTGACACACCTCAGGGCCAGAGGGGCCTCGCCTGGCTTCAGCCGACCTTCTTGGGGAGGCAGATACTGTTCCATCCTCTTCCCAGCGAGCCGCGGATCAAATCAGCAAGACGGCAAGGAAGCCCCATCAGCGCTGAACCCTTAAGCAACCCTCACTCGAGACCACTCCTCCGAATTAATCTTGAGCAGGGTCGGTTTTGTCCTTCCGGGGAATAATGAGCGAGTAGAGGTACAAAGTCAATGCTTTGGACGGCAGCTTGCCCTCCTATCTGCTGCTGCAAAACGCGAACCTTCTAGTTTAAACTTCAGTGAGAATATTTTTTTAATCAAAGACCAGTTATAATTTAGTAACTTCTGAGCAACATGGATAGGGCTGCATTGTAAAAAAAAAATACGTAGCATCTCCACCAAAAGCATGCAACGAATCTGTAGATCCAAACAAGAGGTTACTTGTCGGATTTTGCAAGGCAGAGAATCCTTGATTGATGCTTTTATTAGGACGACTCAGCTATTGCATTTGGGCGGTTTCCCCATGAATCACAATTATAATTGTTTCTTAATCTGTAATGTTACCCATAGATCAAGAAAGTATCACAGCCATGGCTTCCAATTTGTGATAATGGATATTGGAATAAATACAGTATCAAATCAAGCGTGAACTGAGCGTAGACCATTTATCATTCTACTTCATTCCTATCTCTAGCTGTCTACTTCTAACGCGCATGCGTTTTCGTGGGTGGGTTAAAGTTGAGCTTTAGAACTTTATTTTTCATCAGCAAAAATTAAGACCACTGCGGGCGCTTTTTAGAATGCTTTCTTCTTCATTAAAACCACTCTTTCCTTTTTATGCGCTCCATTGCTTCCGCCTAAATGCTTGGCTTTTCCTACCACTGCTATACACAACTGAAGCTCAGTCGCCCCATCAGCAATTTTCAGTACTTAAAAAGGTTTCTGTCCTTCCGTAAGTAACTAAATCAAATCGCTTAAATAGAAATGAATTTAGTTTTATCAGTTTCACTTTTAAATGCATAAACAGTACTCAATGAGACTTTTTTTAAGCAAAGTTCACATTTTATCTGAATTCCCCCTTCATAAATAGAAGCTATAAATGATGAATCTTAAATATTTGAACTGGTTAGACCTGTGAACATTAGATACCTTTCTTTGTTTAAATCACAATAACAAAAACAGGGTGATAATTCTACATTCACCTGGGAATGACTTAAATGATTCTCTGAGTGTGAGTGTGTGAATGTGCATTTCACTTTAGTTTTAGCAATAACGAGCCATCATTTTACTGCACAATTTCTTCCAGTTCCATTAAGATTGGATAAGCACAAATTGTTCCCAATTGTTCATTAAAATAGGCACACTTGGTGAATTCATGTAATAATAATTACTACCAAAAGAACTTTGTGAGCAAGCCTTGTGGTCTTTTTAAATTTAGTCTTGATGCTAATCTTAGGCATTTTTGTACATGCTTTGATGGGACCTTTGAGAGATATATTCTTCCCAAGGAGTAAGATTACCACTACTACTACCATCAAGACAGATGGTGTCTGTTCTGGATCATGTTTGGCATTTATTGGGTTAAGTGCTGTCTCCTTAAGAGATGGCCTGTGGGTAATGTAGTTTAGCTAGTCTGCAATCCCATGTTATCAGATCTGTGGGAGGAGTTTTTAAAGTTCCTCACAGGGTATCCTGGCCACTAGCCAGGTTGGAATGTTCTTTGTCTGAGAGAAGCATGGAGCCATTCGGACGTCTCAGTTGGCTCCACTTCAAGTTACAAGCTGGTGTGGAGGAAGCATTATTTTCTCACCTATGAGAATGAACAGATGTATGATATCCAGAAGCAACAACCACACAAGTATCTCTGAATAAAGTGTATCTGTTTTGGAATCATTTTTATTGAGTTTATCTGTCTTACTTGGACTTACAAAGCAACTTAACTCTGGGTCAGAACAGTGAGAAAATATTGATAAAAATGCATCCTTGGGAGACACTGTTCTGACCCAGAGTTAAGTTGCTTTGTAAGTCCAAGTCAGCTACCCCCCCCCCTTTCTTTGCCGGCAATTCAAACAGCTTGAGGCAAGACAGAGGGAGGGGAATAGGCAATGAGAGAATTGTTTCAAAAGATTGTCTGTGAACCCAAATCCGTTTGCTTGGAAACAAAGACAAAGTTTAACGTCTGTGTTACTAAAATGCAAAGGAGTTGTGTGTGTTTCTGACTGCTTTAGTAAGGAAGCCTTGGGAGGATAGGCTGGGAAAAGTTTCTTTGCTGGCAGATTCAAAGTATATCAAACTTCTGTTGCCTTTTGTTTAACGTTCAGAACGGGCGAACCCCCCCCCCTGCAAACCCAGCATTGCTTGAAAACAGGCATTTGCCCTAGCTGGCCCCTGGCTCTGAGATAGCCTTAGGCCATAAATCAATCTGTTGCCGAAGCAACCATTTGTTGTCATGGTAACTCAGCAATGATGAGAGAACTCTAAATTACCCCCTCCCCTTGGAATTCCAGCAATGTCCATAGAAAGAGAAGGTTTACAGAGGCTCCAGTAGCAGTGCAGCAGCACCCCCTGGTGGCCAATCTGCACACTACACTTTTCAACAATTTTAACCCTGCTAAAGGACAAGCACCCTTCACTTTGGCAACTGATTACCAAGGGGCAAGCTTGCATCAACCCAAGTTAACAACACCCCCTAGAGGGGAAAGAAGGTACTTCACTGAATGCAATTTCTAACTATGCAAAGTGAACCTGACAGTTAAAGAGCAAGTTATCTAAATTCATCCAAAGCTACCAACAGCCCTAGAGGGCACAGAGTGAACTTCACCCAAAAGTAATCACTCACGCAAGCAGTCACCTCTAGTGGTGACTGTGCTGAGGGCAAATTAAGGAGAAGAAAAGGCAACAATTAACCTTGTTTATTATTACAAGGCTGATGACCGAGAGGATTTTAGTGTCTCAAGCAGTCTCCAGCTTGCAACTTAACGACCACGGGATTTCGGGAGCACCTGAAGCTCAGTGATTTCCCAGGTGGCCACTAAGGATAACATGGTAGTAAGAATTTTGGCTGGCCTCTCTCCAGACGCCCCCTAGTGGTTAAAGGAGGAATTACACGCAAACCTTTAATCACGCACAGAAAAAGCCCTCTAGTGGACAAAGGGTGAACCTCGAAGGAAGAGCACCCTGGTAACTGACCCGCAGGAAGTAACCCCTAGTGGTGAAAGGCTGAATTGCGCTGAAGTACCCACGAACACAGGAGAACGCACCCAGTGGTGCCTCCACCCACAGACAGCACCCCAGTAGCTGATCTGCAAGTAGCGACCCCTAGTGGTCAAAGAGCGAAGTTCATCGAATTCGCTTCAAAATAGCTAGGAAGTTTACTGAACCTGTCCTAGCCATGGCAGAGTGTCCCATTGCTCTAGTAGAAGAGGTTCAACCAGCCTAGATGAGACACCCCAACCAGCCGGCCAAGGAGAAATGCTGCAAACAGCCAACCTTGACCTGTACACAGAGGCTGAAGCTCAAGCCTCAGTGAGGCCAAAGACGTCTCAGGGTCCCTATAACCTGAGGCAACAAAGAAAGCCTACAGAAGCCATGCGATCGTATCTGACGGACAGATAGCAGTCGTTCTACGACCGCCACGAGAGAGCCTGGGAGAGATTACAGACACTCTACCAAACGCCCGAAGAGGGGTTCCCTCTCGAATGCGCGCCCTCATTAGAAGAGGATAAGGTAGACGCTTTCCGACAATGGACAGACTTCGCACACCATCTCGAAGAGATTCAGATGGAACTAGGAGACCCAAGAGTCGATAGCGAGATGCAGAGCCTCAAGCTAAAAAACAAGAAACGTAAGAAGTTTCTAGAGAGCTCCAAACAACCCCCGGAACCCGGGTCCTACACAAAAAACAGAACGGTCAAGAGGGCCGAGTCCGAAGTTTCCCACCATTCACATGCACCATTCCAGCGGTCACATGTGGCTCCATCTCACGCCTCTGGAAAAGCCTTATCCTTTCACCATATATCCAAGGCGCATTCCAGCATGTCACAACAATCTCACGTTACAGGCGCCTCCCGCCATTCAAAAGCGTCTTCTCATCATAGTCAGGCGTCCCGAGTTTCAAAGGCAGAGCAAGCCAACATTGATGCTGAAGCTTCCAACGCAGTCTTACGCGTGCGAGAAGAGGAGCAGCTGAAAAAGAAGGAATTGGCGGTTATGGAAATTGAAGTAGCTGAGATGGAAGCCAAACTAGAAGTTGAAGCAGCTCAAATGGAGGACGATCGAGAAGCTGAAGCAGCTCAACGAGAAGCTGAAGCAGCTCAAATGGAGGCCAAGCGAAAGGCTGAAGCACCTCAGATGGAGGCCAAACGAAAAGCTGAAGCAGCTCAAATGGAGGCCAAATGAAAAGCTGCAGCAACTAAAATAAAAGCCACTCAAGAAGAGCTTGAGTTTGTACAAAGCCAATGAGAAGTGGCAGACAAAACAGCAAGAGCGAAAGGCCTTCAGAGAAAACTCCAACACACCACTTTCTTGCCCAATAGAGAACATCTGGAGAATGAAGATCGGCATAGCCATGTGCAGGCCTATGTGGACAACCAAAGCGCGTTTCAAAGGGAACATGTGAGAGCGCCACAACCATCCACAAGCCCCCCAAGACCGAGTAGACGAAGAGAAGAATCTCAACGGCCAGATGTTCCGGTCAGCTGGAGAGGAGTTGTTGCGACCTCTAGGCCACAAGATCTTTCCACCGTTGCTGCCCCATTGAACCCACCGAACCATACCACTGATGGCAGCTGCATGGGTCCACCTGTAGCGGCAACAGCCCCACAGCAGAACCAGCTGCAGCTCGGGGATGAGATTGAAAGAACTCGAGCCAAACTAGAGTCCCTGCTGCGACAACAAGAGGCAGCATCCCAAGGAACCGCTACCAAACCAGACCACAGAGGAGAATCCCAACAACCAGCTGTGCCAGCCTCCCAGGGAGTCAGCTACATACCACCCGAAAGACGAGAAACCCTCCAACAAGTAAGCACACACGAACGTAGGTCCCCTCGCTCAACGCCAGAGCAGAGGAATTCAGACCAAGCCAACAAGGTCCCTCGCACGCGACATGGCAAGATACCCTCAGCAGACAACACGCTGAAGTAAGTTACCAGCCGGACATGGCGCATGCCCCCGCTCCCGGAAGCTACGCACCTCCTCCGCCTGACTACAAACCATACACGGGACTGTGGAATCCCCCAACATTCGTTGGAAGAAAGTTGGACATGGCAGCCAGAGGTGTGCGAAAATTCTCCGATAAACCAGGGAGAGAGTACTTATTGTGGAAGCACATCTTCAAGCGTGCCATACTCAAGGAAAGGGCTGGAT